ACAACCTAAACATAATCATATACAACAGATGCGGCTCTTTACGTGTTTTGTTAGGAGTTTCAGTAACATAATCAAGATGTTTCCGTGCTCTAAACATCATCATCAAACTATTTAATGTTATAAAAACATTTACCAAATCCATAATTTCCATTTAAAAAGAAGGAAAAAAAGGAGAATAATTCAATCTTTACGGGCCAAAGGATCATCAAGATAAAGATGATTCTTCCACGTTTTCTTGATACTTAATTGAAGATGGACGTATTTATATACACGATGAAAACATTTTATTCACTTCCCACGCATTAATTAATAAACTTATGATTAATATGCAATTTAATTTTAAGTTAGTACGGTTTGAATTTCTAACTACGTCACTCGATAAAGCTGTCGTTCATCACTCGACTCGAAAATCTCCGATGTTTACTAAATTACTTTATAGATTACGTTTCAATATATTAATACTTGAAAATTTCTGGAATTCTTGATTAATAAGTTATCGAAATCGAGATATTTTAGATTAATAAGTCAATATTATTAAAGAATTCTGAAGAGATGCAGTCGTGAGCGATGCTACTAAATATCGATCCCTTGCTGAGTAGGATTAATGTCTGTTGAATTTTATATTTATTTTTAATACGTAAACATAAATTAAACTTTAGTTAATAAGAAATCATGGGATATATTTATCTAAAAACATATAGGGTGGTCTAAAAGTCGGTTAACTGTGTGCTTTTTTTTTCCCTATTCCAGATTCATTTGTGAGTATAAATCGTTTTGTTTTTCTTTTGTAAAATCGATAGAAACGTGATAAAAATGATTGAGTTAATTGTAATTTTTAGTTAATTTAGTCTTTGTAATGGTTAACTGACTTTTGGTCAGCTTGCATTTTTTTTTAAATGTAAGATGAGTAAAATTTTCTAAATGTGTGCGGTTTATAAATAAAATTTACACTGAAAAAAACGAAAAATAAACTTAAAAATTTTTATTTTTATATAAAATTTTATAATTTAAACAATTTTTTAATAAAATTAAAGCAATTTTCAATACTTTTTTTAGGCTAAAAGTCATTGAAAATTTTGCCACTTAAACATTGAAATATATATAAATTTGTACTGTTTAATTAATAAAAAGTCCTTTTAATTATGTCAATGTTTCAGTGCTAATTTCATCATTAATATAAGCTTAAATTTATAAATATTTTTTTTAAAAAAAAAGCCAAAACAAGCTACAAAATGTATCATCAGTTCTTATCTTTTAAAGAAATGACTTTATTTGTTGTGTGTGTGTGTTTTTCTTTAACAGAAGACGAGTAAAGAAAAATATTCACATTGTTATTTAAATCGTGAATACATAATATATTCTTACAAATAAAAATTTCTAATATAGTATAAAATCTTGGCATAAGCATGAATTTCAAAGATACAAAAATAATGACGTCTCCCCTGAATGTTTGTTTCGCTGCATCATTACCGAGTTAGAAGGAGAAAGCAGATTTACAGGCGAATCTCTGTTTAATATGATTTTAAACTGTAGAAATTTTTATTTTTATATTATTTTTACGTGTTATTTAAATTATAAAATTTATTAATAATATAATTTCAAACGAATTTAAGAAAAAAATATCGTCATTTGTATATATATATATATATATGTTCGTGCTTAAAAATTCTCATACTCACGATATCTATCTTCTAGTAACATATCATCTTTATAACCAAAGTTAAGACAGCCACAAACATTATTTTCTATTTATATCATCCATTAACATAATCATTCTAGAAACAGTAGCAACATATCGACCACAAAAGCAGTTTCAACATCAAATATTCAGAATATTAAGTACATGAGAATTTTCTAGTTTTATTACATTCCTTTTAAGTTTTATAATCAAAAATTCCTTCTTTCAATAATAAAAACTTCTCTAGTAACTTACATAACCTGTTAAATTTTAAATATATAGTAACAAATCAAGTTTTATTCAACAATTTTAACCAAATCTTTAAGCACGATAATCACATTTAATTCTTTAAAAAAAAACAAAAAAATATATTAAATATCAGAATTGTTTGTTTAATTTAATAAAAATTTAATATAAGACAAATTTTTTTAATTAATAAATTTAATTTTTAAATAATTAATACGTAAAAAGAAGCAAATTTTCTATAGTTTAAAGCACGATGTGAATAATTGAATTATCTGTTTAATTCGTAATTTTAATTTATAAAATTTAAAAAATAATTTAAATTTTATACATTATAACGTTAAATATTACTTTCTAACTCAAGTTAGTGAGTGAAGATAATTTTAAAATTTAGTAAATGTACTTTAAATAATTAGAAAGATAACAATATTGTGTATTTTACTTAATAATTTATTTTTTATTCCAATTTTTTTTAGGATAAATTTGAAAAAATAAGCTAATAAATTAAATATCATACGTCTATATTTTTTCCTAATTTTTTTCTATATAATAAATAAATATAAGCATCGTTATACCTTAAAATTTAGTCTAGTAGATGAATTAAAATACTCTTTTCTTTAATAAAAACCGTAAATAAACTATAATTTATAAATTAATTTTAAAGTATATATGATATACATGTAAATATATTTCTTTTTTAAAAAAAAACTTTAAAAAATTCTTTATAAAATCTATACTTTAAGTTTTACACGCCAAGATATATGTGTAAAAGTCAATACAATCCTTCACTAAAGAACACGTCTATATAAAAATGAAGCACTTATACTCGTGTAAGATGTAAATATGGCAGAAACATCCTTCAAACCATTCACAAAAATGTTTTTTTTTATGGTTTATCTTTATTCTCCTTTACAAAAGTATTGAATATAATACTTTCTGTTCTTTACCTTTATGTCAATATATATCTTGTATTATCGAATATACAACACGTTTTACTGATGGAGCATCAGTTATCTGTTTAAAAATATATATATATATATTTATTTATTTATATATCAAATATCTTATGTATTTTTTTATAGAAGAAACAATTTTAATTACGATTAATTGTGTTGTAGTGAGGAAGAAAAGAATTAAATACTTTCAATTCAGTTATTTTTATTGGCGTCCAAAAAAAAATATAATCACACATGGTAGGAACAAATGTGATTAAAGACAACATAGTTAATCAACAAATAAAAAAAAATAATTCACGTTACATAATACAATGGTTAACAACTGACAACATCTGTCGAATTCCTTTTTTTTTTATTTTATTTTTGTTTTATACAGAAACTCTGCATCTTTATTTACAAGATACAATTTGAGGGATCTCATTTTATTTGAATTTTTCTTTTCTATACTAAAGTGAAATTTTATTTTTTGTTTGGTTTTATTCTCTTATTTTCGTGTGTTTAAGAGTCTTATCTTAGATAAAAAAAAAGTCCCCATCGAACGGGAGAAATCCCTCATATGTGCTTTCTTTCTTCCTTTAAAAAATGCTCTCTTTTCTTTTTATTTAATTGATACGTAAAAAATCAAATTAAATTAAGTTTTATATTGCTCTTTCTACACTTTGCTATGTATGTTGTTGTTGTTGTTGCTGCTGCTGCTGCTGCTGCTGTTGTTGTTGTTGTTGTTGTTTTAATAAATAAGAAAATTCGAATAAACCCCTTAATTTTTAGAGGTATTTTTTTGAAATATTTATTGCTATTTTTCTGAGCTTTTATTTTTGTGTTTCCATAGAAACTCTTGGATACTTTATTATTTTATTTTTTTTCTAAATCAATTTTAAATAATAGAAAAGAAGAATTAAAACTTAATTTACGAAATTATTGCTATTTTTCTTTTTTCCTTTTTTTTTCCTCTTTAAAATGAATTAATTAAAATTTGAAAAACACTTCTAAAACTTTTTAAAATGTAAATAAAAGTTTTAATTCTAGATTTTCTTCCTTATTAAGATGCCAAAACTGATATTTTTGCGCTTATCTTTGTGTGTATCCTGCCAGAAATTTTGTAAAAAAATAAATTTTAAAAAAGAACTTAATAATATATATATATATATATAGGTCATTCACTACATTTTATTATTTTTTAAAAAATATTTGTTTATTTTTTTTATCATGTCTTCTTTATAAAATAAATTTTATAAGATAAACTAGATTTTAAAATCAATTTTTTATTTTTATTTTTAATCAAAAATTTCTCCTAGATGCTGCTGCTGCTTTGAACTTTCACATAGAAGATGCTCTATATTTATATATAAATGATGTGCAAGAGAATGATTTTTCTATATGCAAACTGGCCCACTATTTAGACTAAAAAATTCGTTTATAAGCCAAAAAATTCGAGATTTTAATGTCTTTTTTTTTGTTGTTTTTTTATTGTCTTATACTTCTAAATTCCTAAATTTCTTATTAAATTCCTAATATTTTTTTGCTGCTGTTGCTGTTGTTATGAATTGCTACATTGATACACTTCGATCACAGACAAATTTCTTTAAATTAAAACTTAAATATGGAAATTTTATTATTATTATTTTTCTTTTTTAACTGAGAAAAATCACAGTAAAAGACATATTTTTTTCCAGTTATAAAATTATTATTTAGAATTTAAATTAGTGTTATAAATTTTAAAATAATAATAATAATAATATACATGGAACGTGTTAAAAACTAATATGACTAGAAAAAAATGCGAAAATTTCTCTTCAAAAATTAATTTAGTATATAAAAAAAAACAAATAGGAATTTTTAACGGTTATAATTATTATTTTTATAGTTATTAAGCTATATTTGTTTATAATTTTTTTTTAAAAAAAATCGTCTTACAAACATTTCTTCCATATTAAATTGATTTCTCCGAACTTTAAAGTATAGAAAAATCAAAAAAATAAAAAGATTTTAAATATAATTTCCCTGTAAAAATTAAGAAAAAATGTGCTTTAATTTACCTATTTTTTTTTTATTAATTTTTATAGAAATTTTATTATTATCTAAAGGCACAATTATTTATTTATTTTTCCTTTTTTTTTCTTGGGAAGATGTGTAAAATTCTTAATATAAATTTGTTTATAAGAATTTAAATTTCCTTTACGGAGAAAATAGCCAAAAAAAAAAAGGTGCAACCGACTTCGTTTTCTGACTAGAAATTATGGGATTTTAAGAGATCCCCGCATAGTTTTTTTTTTGTATTTTCTGTTTTTTATATATATATGTATATTTATGTATATTTAACATGAAAAAAGAAATAAAGAAAAAGGGGGTAACAGACTTGGCTGTCGGTCTGTTCGTCAGCATAGCATCACAACATAGTTTACGTTACGCAGACACATTGAATGTCCAATATACAAATACTGTAGACAGATGATCTTCTTCTCCTCATCTTCGTTATTGTCGAGGATTCACATTTTAAGATCCATCTGACTTGTGCCTCTTGAGAGGACTTTACTTTATCACATCTGAAAGAGAGTAACGTGCTTTAAGTATAATGCAATCGATTCAAATTTCGTTATGTAATATATATATAAATGCTTAAAAAGATCGGAAAAACCAATTTAAAAAAAAGGATTCAAAATATAAGCGCTGCGCGACGCGAAGCGCAGCGCTTATATTGTGTAACTTATTACGCAACGATACTTATTTAAAATTATTTCCAAAATCGTAAAGAAAAAGTACAGTTGAATTTTTTTATTAAAATCAATCCGGATAACTGATTTAAGAAGTAGATGATTGTATTGTATTAGAGATAAGCGTAAAGGTTCGCGTCGCGCAGCTAACCTTTACGCGCTACTCTAATAAAAAAGTTTATTTCGTTATCAACGTTACTGAAAAAATATATATATGTATATATATTTAAAACTTTAATATAATTTAAATGCCTTTGAAACTATGCATTACACTTTTAAAATGCAAACGATTTATTTTTACTAATAAGTATAATTTGAGTAAAGTCGACGCGATAGGTCGCGACGCGTCGCTTCTCACCTACACTATAAATTCATTTCTTTCGTATTTTACTACATTACTCCAGTTAAATGTAATATTTTAAATTATTCGTTGTTTTATTTTTCTAGAAACAAAAAGGAGGGAAAAACATTTTATAAATCTAAAGAGTAACAGAATCATCGAGGTAGCGATGCGACGCGACGCGATAACACCTGACATTTCTAGCTATTCTAGTCATTAAAATAAACTTTTTACAAATATAACAGAATAAATATTATATATAGTAATAATCTTATTTTTACAATTAAAAAAAAAATCTATATTTATAATCACGTATCGTACTATTGATGTTATAACAACTAATCCTCATTAAACGAAGAGTTTCGGGATAGAATCTCTGGAAATCATTTTTCAACTCGCATTAAACTCAACTAAATCAAATAAATTTGATTACATTTCTAAATTTATCTTGTTCCAGATAGCAAAGAGCCCATAAAAGATCGTCTAACAAATACGTCACACGCTCCATTGGGACCTAAGAAGTCACGTATAACTGTTAATGTCACATGATCCCATTCTCTGATTTATGGTATCTCTTCCGTCTCTACATCATTAAAATTTAGGTTTGTAAGATTGAAATTACGTTCGAAATTTAATATTTTATTCATTATTTAATTACAATTTCATCAAAATTGGGCTTTAATTTTAGATTTTAATTAATTATCATAAGAGATTCGTCTCTGGAAGCCGAGTTTCATCGTCTTCTAATTTGCATCAGAAAATGGTGAAAAATTCAAATATTTTATAAAATTATTTTAATGACGTTATTTTCTAGTAAAATGCAAAATAATCGAATAAAATTATGCCTTTTTTTTAATTCTATTTTAATACAACTTCATTCTTTGACAAGAAAGGAATATTATTAAAATTAGGCTAAAAATAAAAAAATAACGTCAAATTTATTGGGTTTAATGATGTTAATCAATTATATATCTTATTTTTGTGGTATCTTCCCTTGAGTGACATCTCCTATCCTCTTATATAAGCATATAAAAATGATTATTATTATATTTTTTTTATAAGGGATTATATCATCATTAAACGCGTACACTTGTCATTTTTAATTACTTATAACCGCATCNTAATTGCTAAGTATCTTGTACGATCTTTCGGCAAATCTTGGAGAATAAAGTAAAAACATCGACAGATAATTTTTAAATCTGTACATCAATCTGATTGAATTTGATTTAAATATTTAAGAATATGATCTAAATATTAGCTAAAATTAAGAATACTTTTCAACATTCCTCCACATTTAAGGTACATTCCATTTTGGATCTACTTCGCATGTCAAGCATACCATTAAATGACATTTTGTATATATATATATTTTATAGTTATTATAAATTTTATAATGAAAAATGATAATTTCATGTATCATTTCCATCGTGTTAACAGTATCATGAACTATACCAACTGATATTTTGTATTGATTAACCCTAGAGACCAGTACACTTTGTCCAACAGTGTCCAAGTAGATAACACCACTTTAACAATTAGTAGTGTGTTCGAGCCTCTCCAACGGGCTGGACACGTGAAGTAAGTCTAAAATATACATATTTCTAATTAATATTGGTATTGAGTGTAGCTTCGTGAACTTAAAAAAATAGGTTCAAAAACTAGAAAAACAAACTTAAATACGGGAGAAGATTCGAATTTTTAATATGCCGAATGTACTAAATTAAAATTTCTAGACGATCTGAGTTTATTTTTATTAAAATTCTCCTTCCAACTACTCTGTAGATTTTTAAATAATAAACTACATTTATTTTGTTGTATTCCACATACTTCATTTCTTAGAATCATTCACCTGTAAGATATAGATTTTTTTCTTTTTGGAAGTCAGTTATCATTCTACATATTTTCTGTATTTAATATCAAATATATATATATCGATTTTAAGGTCTAACTTGTAATATAATGAAGTCCATTTTTCTGCAATGAAAATAAAATTATGCCTTTTTTTTAATTCTATTTTAATACAACTTCATTCTTTGACAAGAAAGGAATATTATTAAAATTAGGCTAAAAATAAAAAAATAACGTCAAATTTATTGGGTTTAATGATGTTAATCAATTATATATCTTATTTTTGTGGTATCTTCCCTTGAGTGACATCTCCTATCCTCTTATATAAGCATATAAAAATGATTATTATTATATTTTTTTTATAAGGGATTATATCATCATTAAACGCGTACACTTGTCATTTTTAATTACTTATAACCGCATCAAAAATGGATTAAAAAACAGGTTTATTAACGTAAGAAATAAACGAAAATCCAACAACGAGTTGCGTAACTTTCCCGGTCAAAAAGACGTTAAATTGTGTGTGGCGCCATCTGTTATGAGATTTTATTTTTAAAATATTTTATATTATTAATTATTATTTAAGAAGCTTAATTACGAAGGTACGGATGCGTTTTATAAGGTATTGTATTGTAAATGTTAATAATGAGATACGACGCATTACCTCTTCTATCTCTCAACCCCCTTAACCTTTAACCACCAAAATTTAAGAGTATCAATGAACCTAATATATGAGCCTATCAGCAAAATTTCAGAAATTTTCGACAAAAGGCACACGAGTTATTAAGCTTCAAAGTGAGTAAAAAATTGTGCCCCTTACACACGTCCATATATACATAAAACCCCCAACTTTTTTTGCATTTCTCGACATTTCAAGCGTACTACAACACAAAAATATAAAAAAATTTTCGGGGGAATTCAATTTTGGTGTTGTATATAACAGCCAGAAAAGTAAAAAAAAAAAGCGGACTGCAATTGTATGCAAATATCTATTCGCCTGCACAATAAGAACGTCGATCTCATTAAAAAAAGGGGGAAGCTTCAACTTTCCAAAAATCATTCCCAAGTAGATTTTCACTATAATTAAATAACCTATTTAAATGCCATAAATGCGTTAAGTGCCTAGCGAATATACACAGAGGTTATTTATGTGTAATTCGATCCTTTCGCATAGACATCAAGTAGATGGCTTATCTAAAAGGCATTTAAGATAATAATCCTACTGTTTATATTTCTTAGAATTTATCGAAGCAATTCCTCTCGACAGCCAAGAGATTAATAAATATACAATTTATTAATATAATAATATATTAATCGGTACAGACGTGGAGTTAAACATAATTATGTACTGTACACGTTCCGTATTTAAAGTATAAAATTAAACATGCCTAACCACCGTTAAAACATAGGAATTAGGACATAGCCAGGGGCTCGTGTGACTCTTTAATATCAAAGTTTGTGAGGAAGAGGAAATGGGTGGGATGCTGTCATACAATGTAACATGCTGAAATGCATCGTGTCGTTTGTGTAATGAATATTTCCTGCGGTTGTAACTACAAATCAATAACAACTTATGAACTTTCTGTACGTTAATACGAGAAAATATAAGTTTATTCTATAACTTAAGACATTAAACTACCTTATAACTTCTATATAAATTATATAAACAATAGGTAAAAAGTATGAATACTTCATTAAATACACAGGGTGCTTATTCTTTCATGTAGGCACACAGAAAATTAATTAATTTAAAAAATATTTATGGCGATCGCTCAAAAAATGAACCACCCCTTAAAATATTTAAAAATTTTTGGTTTTAGTGGATATTGAAACGTCGAGAAATGCAAAAAATTTAGGTGCTTTTTCCGTGTGTACGAACGTTAGTGCGTGTGTTTGTGTATAGGTGGGTGGGAGCACTATTTTGTTTATTNAAAAGATTTTAAATTGTGTGTGGCGCCATCTGTTATGAGATTTTATTTTTAAAATATTTTATATTATTAATTATTATTTAAGAAGCTTAATTACGAAGGTACGGATGCGTTTTATAAGGTATTGTATTGTAAATGTTAATAATGAGATACGACGCATTACCTCTTCTATCTCTCAACCCCCTTAACCTTTAACCACCAAAATTTAAGAGTATCAATGAACCTAATATATGAGCCTATCAGCAAAATTTCAGAAATTTTCGACAAAAGGCACACGAGTTATTAAGCTTCAAAGTGAGTAAAAAATTGTGCCCCTTACACACGTCCATATATACATAAAACCCCCAACTTTTTTTGCATTTCTCGACATTTCAAGCGTACTACAACACAAAAATATAAAAAAATTTTCGGGGGAATTCAATTTTGGTGTTGTATATAACAGCCAGAAAAGTAAAAAAAAAAAGCGGACTGCAATTGTATGCAAATATCTATTCGCCTGCACAATAAGAACGTCGATCTCATTAAAAAAAGGGGGAAGCTTCAACTTTCCAAAAATCATTCCCAAGTAGATTTTCACTATAATTAAATAACCTATTTAAATGCCATAAATGCGTTAAGTGCCTAGCGAATATACACAGAGGTTATTTATGTGTAATTCGATCCTTTCGCATAGACATCAAGTAGATGGCTTATCTAAAAGGCATTTAAGATAATAA